TCCACTCACCTCGGCCTCCCAAAGCGCAGGATTACAGGCTGAGCCACCGAACCCGGCCGAGTTTTAATATTTTCATTCTTAATTTATTTTTATTTTTTATTTTTGAGTTTAAGTCTCCCTTTGTTGCCCAGGCTGGAGTGCAGTGACACACTTGTGGCCACTGCAGCCTCAACCTGTTGGGCTCAGGGGATCCTTCCACCTCAGCCTTCCAAGTAGCTGGAAAAATAGGCACGAGCCACCTCGCCCGGCTAATTTTTTATTTATTTATTGTAGAGATGAAGTCTCGCCAATTTGCCCAGGCTGGTCTCCAACCTGTGGACTCAGGCAGTCCTCTCGCCCCGGCCTCCCAACGTGCTGGGATTACAGGCTTGAGCCACTGCACCCAGCCTTATTTTTTGAGTCAGAGCCTCACTCTGTTGCCCAGACAGTAGTGCAGTGGGACAATCACGGCTCATCGCAGCCTCCAATATCTGGGCTCAGGATCTTTCCACCTCAGCCTCCTAAGCAGCTGGGACTACAGATGCGTACCACCATGCCTAGCTAATTTTTAATATTTTTTCAAAAGTGGACTGGATAATTTACACGATGGAATATTATGCAGTGATAAAGAAAAAAAATTATTAACTTCACAACAATTTGGATGGAATTAGAGTCCATAATACTCAATGATTTATCACAGAAACAAATATCTAAGTTCTACATGTTCTCACTCATAAGCAGACCCTGGACATTTATAATACTATAAGAAAGGGATTGGCAGCCTGGCACGGTAGCTTAGCCTGTAATTCCAGCACTTTGGGAGGTTGAGGTGAGAGGACTGCCTGAGCTGGGGGGTTTGAGACCAGTCTGGGCAACTTAGACCTCATCTCTATAATAAATCACAAAAACTACAATAAATAAGTAAACAAAAACTAGCCGGGCTTGGTGGTGTGTGTCTGTAGTTGCAACTACTTGGAAGGCTGAGGTGGAAGGATTGCCTGAGCCCAGCAGGTCAAGGCTGCAGTGGCTGTGAGCATGCTGCTGCACTCCAACCTGGACGACAGAGTGAGACTCTAACTAAAAAAAAAAAAAAAAAAAAAAAAAAGGATTGGCAGTAGTGGGACACTGCCAGGGGAGAAGGGGGGCAAATTACATCAATGAGGGTACCCATACTTTACCTGTATGACGACCACTTTTGTACCTAACCCTGAATTGTACTCCACATCTTTTATTTTAGAATCCAACTGGACTTTATTTTATTTTATTTTATTTTTGAGTTGGAGTCTCACTCTGTCACCCAGACTGGAGTGCAGTGACCGCTCCCAGCCACCGCAGCCTCGACCTGCTGGGCTCCTGTGATCCTTCCGCCTTAGCCTTCCCATTAGCCGGAATTACAGGCATGCGCTACCACGCCCGGCTAATTTTTTGATTTATTGTAGAGATGAGGTCTCGCTGCCCAGGCGGATCTCGAACCCGCGGGCTCAGGCAATCCACTCACCTCAGCCTCCCAAAGGCGCAGGATTACAGGCTGAGCCAACAAGCCTGGCTCAAACTGGACTTTATTTTGACACAATACAATAAGGCTGCAGGAACAGCAAACTGAAAAGACAAAGGAGAAAAGACAGTTTTATCTATTTTATAATTAAGTTACAGGAGGTTAAGTCGTTAAAAATCAGTTAAGCTTGATGGAAGAATTCTTTTTCTAGTGCCCATACTTTACAGACTCCCTATGCAATGGTACACTCTTGGGAAGTAGCAGACGCCTAGTTAGCTTGACATTCTATACAAGGATCCATAATGTGGTTCCTGCAGATGGCACAGTTATCAACCACAATATCCCAGGCCCAGAGGGCTACCGGATTCCATTTTTTTTTTTTTTTTTTTTG